CCGTGCACGGTGGCTGGTTGAGAACCGGAGGGAGTGCTGTTAGACAGGACTCCGGGGAGGGCTGCTTGGGCAAGTAGGGGCACCTGGAGAGCCCTGAGGAGGTTTCTGCAGAAGGCACGGGAACAGAGTGGGCCGGCCCACACAGGGTTACATTCAATGGGTCTGTGGTTATGGGAGTGGCCTCCACCTCTAAAGCAAGGTTGGTGTCTCTGGACCATTTCAGGCTACAAACAAGGAGCCCCTGGGAACACCCGGAGACACCTAGGGCAGAGCTTTTCCAGACTTCTCGGCCCAGGCGTCCAGCTCTGCACAGCTGCCTGTGTGTTGGTCTGCCTGTCCATGTCACCCCATGCCAGCAGCCAGCAACCCCACAGTGGCAGTCACACCCGAATCTGGCCTGTTTGCCAACGTAGCATCAGTGCGGGGACAGGGCTTGGCATGAAGGTGCATGTGGAAAAGATTTGTGAATGAGTAGGTGAATGAATGAATGAATGAATGAATGAACTCCACAAACATCCTCATGGCAGCTGCCACTTACAGGCAGTTGATATGGACCAGGCGTTCTGCTAAGTGTGGTTCACATACGTCCTCTCCGGATCCTCCCAGCAGCCCTGCCAGGGGAGCATTTGTTAGCCCATTTTACAGAAGAGGAAGTGGGTCTCGGACAGGTCAAGACACCTGACAGGTAGGTGTGACGGGGTTGCCACTTGACCCTGTCTGGCTGTCCCTAGAGTCATGCGTGCCCACAGACGAACCACACTGCTCCCTGCTGGCCTTGCGGTCTGCCCTGCAGACCCAGAACACCTGGCCAGAGGTCAAGAGAGCGTCCTATCCCCCCAGGGCAGGGGGGCATCTGCCCCAGCCCAGCGACACCTCCACTTGGGGATGGTTGACAATGAGTCCGTATTCCATCCCCAAAATGGGAACCTGAGGAAGGATCTGAGCTGTTCCCCCTGCTGGCTCACTCTGGGTGTGGAGTCTGCGCCTCCAAGAGCCCCCATTCCCTCCCACATGGTCCCTGGGCCAGTGAACTGGAAATCACAGAATCTTGGATTGGAAGGGACCCTCAAGAACTAGTCCCTGGCTGGGTGCGGTGGCTCAGGTCTGTAATCCCAGCTCTTGGGAGCCTGAGGCGGGCAGATCATGAGGTCAGGAGATGGAGACCATCCTGGTCAACATGGTGAAACCCTGTCTCTCCTAAAAATACACAGAAAAAAATTAGCTAGCCGTGGTGGCATGCACCTGTAGTCCCTGCAACTTGGGAGGCTGAGGCAGGAACCCAGGAGAAGGAGGTTGCTGTGAGCCAAAATCGTACCACTGTGCTTAAGCCTGGTGAAAGGGCGAGACTCCATCTCAAAGAGAAATAAATAAATAAATAAAGAACTAGAACTACCCACTCATTTTCAGATGAGGAAACTCAGGCCCAGAGAGCCTGGGCATAGCTGTCCTGGCAGGAGGGCCCCTCGTGGCTGCTGGCTGAGTTCTCCCTGGGCCCCGGCCATCCATGGCAGTTGCTGGTGGTATAGATCAGAAAGAAAACATCTCTGTACCACCCTGCCTGGAAGGAACGCATGGCGGGGGGACATGGCCTCTTCCCTCCTTGGTCCTTCTCCTCTCTCGACTCCGTAAGTGGCCCGGGTCATCCGGGGCGTGGGTCTCGGCAGCCCCTCTGCAGGCAGCCCCCTCGTGGCTGGCGGGGTCGGTGCGGCAGCCGCGCCCTGCCTGCTGCTTTTCCGTGTGAAAGGTGTTTAATTATTTCTGACAGAGTTCAGCGTCGACATCTGTCCGTGAGCGGGGGGAGTCCATTTAGGTTATCCATCACTGTGACAGGTTCAACTTTTTTGGAAGCGCTTTCCCCTTCGTAATGGGGCTGGGGTGGGGGCGGCAGATCAGCGGCAACGCCAGGCGCAGACAAAGGCCCTCCTGGGGCTTCACACTCGACAGACACTGAAGACAGCAGCTCCTGGGGGGAGTGGCCCTGGCCGTCTGCCCGGACCTCTGAGTCCAGGCCCAGTTGGTGGCTGCTGGGATGGTGGGTGCTTGGGTGCTTGGTTTGGGAAACGGAGAAAGGGGAGGTTCACCAGGTCTGTAACAGTCTTTTCAATTCTTCTGTCATTCTGGGCTGTACTGGCCGTTCAGTCTCTCACCTCCTCATTCATTCATTCCACAGATACATTTACTGACCCCCCACTGCATGCCAGGCACCCTGCAGGGCTCTGGGGACAAGGTGTGGAATGGATAGGCATGGTTCTGGGGGGCTCACATTTTACTGAGCAAGATGAAAAACATTGCCCAGGTAATTAATTGTAGAGTTAAGTGGTGTGAAGGGGAAGAAAGGATCCCTTTGGTGGTGAGAATGGGGACCTGCGGGTGGGGCCTGGAGGTGAGGGAAGGGGTCCTCAGGAGGCCCTGGGGCTGGAAAGCCCTAGATTGGACCCAGACTCCACTTCTGACCTCTCTGAGCCTCAGTTTCCACGTCAGTAGAATGGGGACATTATATCTCTGTGATGAGGCAGGCTGAGCCCCAGGTGCATTCTAACGGCTCAGTAAATGCTTTTTGTTGATGTCACTTCCTGACAAGAAGGGGACTGCATGTGACACCCATAACAGCAGCGCCCTGTGGGTCTCCGGGTGTCTGCTGGGTTGGACAGGGAAGCATCAAGGATGCAGGTTTCCGGCCAATGGGATAGGGTGACAGCTGCAGCTTTAACTCCCAGGATCCCGTGAATATCCTCAGAAAGGGGGAAAAGCCCTCAGCAGATACTGTGACTTGCATTTTGACTTTCTTTCTCATTATTTTGCTGGCCCAATAAGTCCCGTGTATCGGCTTGGGCCCTGCCATCAGATACACCTGGGTTCCAGGCCCGGTCATTCTGTGGGCAAGGAAGGTGCTCTCCCTCTGCCTCTCATCTGCAAAATCCGGTCAGGAGCTTGTTCTGAGGAAGAAATGAAGTAACATGCACACGTGACCTCACACAGTGCCTGCACCGAACCGGAGGCAGTCATTCCTGGTTTGCTACTGTCCATAATCATATTTCAGAACGACAGTCTCAAGACTGGCAGGCCTTGAGTGGTCAAATCCCCTCTTGAAAATGGAAACTCATTCTATGTGTGTTTAGCTCCTACTCTGGGCCAGGCATGGTGGGACAAGGGTGAGTGAGATGGGCGCTCCCAGAACAGGTGCAGCACTGTTACTGGGAGCCCTTTCCCTGCTCTGCTGGGGAGAGACCACCTGAGTGCTGCAGAGGTCAGCCCGTGCTGGTGGAACGCCGGGTCCTGGTCCCTCCTCAGGCAGCATCCCCACGGACTGCAGGGATTCTCAGAGAGAAAAGAGCAGGGAGGTGGCTGGGCATGGTGACTTACACTTGTAATCCCAGCACTTCGGGAGGCCCAGGCAGGAGGATCACTTGAGCCCAGGAGTTCGAGATCAGCCTGTCCAACGTGGTGAAACCTCACCTCTGCAAAAAATACAAAAATTAGCTGGACATGGTGGTGCGAGCCTGTGGTCCCACCTACTCGAGAGGCTGAGACAGGAGGATCACCTGAGCCCGGGAAGTTGAGGCTGCAGCGAAGATGATTGCACCACCGCATTCCAGCCTGGGTAACAGAGTGAGATTCTGCCTTAAAAAAAAAGAAAAAAAAAAAGGCAGGGAGGAAAGGCCATAGCCAGAGCCAGGATGGAGGCTGTGGATGGAATCTGCTGAGTGTGAGAGAGAGCAGGGGACGCGGAGCAACGTGGTTGGAAAAGGCAGAGAAGCTAGAGATGAGTCATGCTGTAAAAGGGCCAGAGCGGTGAGAGGAGCTCTGGAGCTGCGGTGACGCCTGCCACCTCCCAGACGCGCTCAGCCCTGTTCCTCCCTTGACGTCTGCTGTGCTCGGAGGTGGCACGCTGACGGGCGCCGGGGCGCATGGTCACTGACATATGCTGGCAGAGGCCACTTGGGCAGGACATGAGAGGCCGCATCAAGGGGGGAGAGCAGGTTTCTCCAGGGAAGCTCTACATCCTGTTCATGTGCATTAGGGTCAGAAAGGCACCGGCCCCTTCATTGTTTAAACTGCAGTTTAATGCGGCACAGCAGCCAGGCCTGGCTGGCTGGGAACATTGCTTTGTGCAGCTGTCTTCCCGTGGCTGGGCAAGTGCCTTGTGGCCTCCTAGAAAGGCTCCCTCTGCCTGCGCTGGGCACACGAGGCTTCCCGAGTCCCGTCCTGAAGCCACTGTTCCCAAATCTTCCATTTCCCTTCCTCCGTACAGTGTCCCCGGCTCTTCCGTTGCTCTTTCCGGGCCAAACGCTGCTGAAGATGAATCCCGTCTGTGTGCTCCAGGGCTACATGGCTGAGTGAACACCGGCTGAGCTCTGAGGCCAGAACGTGGCCCATTCCCTGGCTTCTTATCTAGGTCCGTCTGGGTACATGTCATGCACTTTCCCCAGTCCGGGGCAGACCTTTGCTCCTCTCTCCCTGGGGACATCACTTTGTGGGAAGTTCATGCTGGTTGGCATGCACTTCAAAAATTGCACCCCAAAATTCCCAGCACAGGATCCAATGCATCAACTACCCCTTCCCTGGAGGGAAACTTGGCCCAGACAGCCCCTGCCCCACGTGGACAGGCTCCAACCCTGGTGAACAGCCTCTGCCCCAGATGGACAGCTCCTGCCCCAGGAAGACAGCCTGTGCCTTAGATGGACAGTGACGCAGCCTCTGCCCCCAGATAGCCTGGGTTCAGCTCAAAGCTCTGCCACTCCACAGCATCCACCATGTTTCCTGTCCATCAGATCGGCCCGGTAGCAGCAGCTGCCCCATCAGTGAATGCGGAAAGTCTCTGAGATGATACACACGGGCTCAGCTCCAGGCCTTAGGAAGTGCTTGAGAAACATTAGCCCTTGCTATTGCTAATCGATGGTGAGAAGCCCACAGAACTTACAGACCGCAGGTAAAGGCCTGGCAAGGTGAGTGGCAGCCAGCACGGTGCAGGGAGGGACATGGATGAAGGTGACACTGACCTTCTGGAAGTGAGGCATGTGCCAGAGGGTGTCCAGCTTCACGGGTGGCTTGTACTTCCTCAGCTGACTGCTCCGGGTCTCATACAGCTTCCCAAGGATCACCTGCAGGCGGGGAAAGGCAAAGGTGGGATGGTCGCCTGGCTACTTAGAGAAGCCTGTGCTGAAGGGGAGCAGAGACAGAGGGCTGTGATTCTTGGTGTGGCAAGATCCTGGGTCACTTTCCTTCTGGCCCAGCCCTTCTCCAGGGCTATTTCACAGCACCTGCCTTCATGGTCCTGTCGCTGGCCACGGCTCAGAAAACTGGAACTCCAGGACAGCCGGAACATTCCAGTCTCTGGAACACAGGGGATTCCCGCGTGCAGCCACCCCGAGGGTGTGGATAGTGTCTCAGTCACCCTTGAACTTGTCCTCCGTGGCTAATGCAGCCCCAGTGGGTCCTAGGGACTCCATGGTGTTTGAATGAAGAAATGCACGATTCGAGGGGTTACTGCCTCTTAGGTCTGTCCTCCATGGCCTGCTCGCGCAGGAGGAATGAGAGCTTCTGTGGGGGACTCGGGGACCCCCAACCACGGTATCTCTGCAGGTGGGATTTCAGAGACACAGTGGAAGCCCCTCTGCTGCTGACCTGCATGCCCGTACCTACTACCAGGTGCCAGCAAGTCCACAGTGAGAGCCCTGTAGCTCATAAGGTCTGTTCTGGACTGACCCAAACATCATATGTTGAAGCCCTAACCTCCCCTGTGTCTGTATTTGGAGACGGGGCCAGAGGAGGTAATTAAAGCGAAACGAAGTCCTAAGGGTGGGCCCTGATGTGATAGGACTGGTGACCTCGTACGAAGAGGATGAGAGACCAGAGCTGTCTCCACCACGTGGGGACGCAGCGAGGAGGTGCCCATCTACAAGCCAGGAGGAGAGGCCCCAGGAGGAAGCAACCCGTGAGCACCTTGGACTTGGACACCCAGTCTCCAAAACTGTGAGAAAATAAATTTCTATTGTTTAAGCCACCCAGCCAGTGGTATTTGTCACAGCAGCCAGAGCAGACTGAGGCAGGGTTCAGGGCCCCCAACTTCAGAACTGGCTGGGGAAGGGGGCAGGACTCTGCATTGTCAATGTGCTCCCCAGGGGATTTCAGAGCAGAGTCAAGTCTGACAGCCACCTCCTTAGCCTATGGCTGTGACCCTTGTCCAAATCCAGAAATCCGCTGGGGCTTTCACAGGTCAGCCCCACCTTTATGCTAGAGCAGAGAGTAGGGACCCCATTTGGGGAGTGGATGAGATGGGTGAGGCAGGAGAGGGTGCTAGTCCCCAAGGGAGCCAGAGAGGATGTGTCACTGCAGGAGGGGTGTGAAGAATAGACACAGGATGGAGCAGGACAGCATCTTCGTGATGTCCAGATCCACGGGGCTGGCTCACTGCCTAGCAAAGATATGACTCAACAGCTCACAGTTACTGAGTGCATGCCTGAGGTTCTTACCATTCATTCATTCTGACCAGCACTCACTCATTCGTTCATCAACAAGTTTCTATTGGGCGTTCACCTGCCAGACATTGTTTTAGGGGCTGGGGACACATCACTGAATCCAGCCCTTGTCCTCGTGGAGCTAACGAAATGTCAGGTGGTGAGAAGTGCTTAGCAACAACAACTGAAGCCAGGCAAGAGGTCGCAGGGTGGCAGAGAGGAGGTGGTGTTTAGGGACGACTGGGGAAGGCCCCCTGGTAAGGTGTCATTCCAGGAGAGGATGGAGGTGGTGGACATCTGGGAGGAGCTTTCCTGGAAGGGAGTGGCAAGTGCAAAGGCCCTGGGGTAGGAGTGCCCTGGGGTAGGAGTCTCCTGGGATAGGAGCATTCTGGGTGCATTGGACAAACATGGAGGTGGGGTGGGGGACAGTGGGACCTATGTGGGAGAGGCAGCCAGACCAGGGGGCCTTAGAGCACAGTAGACTCTAGGCTCTGTTCTGGATTCTTCAGAAGCCTCTGGAAGGCAGAGTAGTGACATGATCCCACTTGGGCTTTGAAAGGCTCCCCCAGTGGGCTGCGGAGGGCAGAGCCTGGGAACCATGTGGATGCTGAGCACATGGGTGGGGGCAACTCAACAGCCCAGGTGAGCGATAGGAGGGGTGGAATCCAGTGAAGTTGGGGTCAGCTGCTGGCTTTGCTGAGACCTCAAAAATAGGGCCTGGGACACGGGGAAGCCACGTGTGTTTTTGGCCTTCACAGCTGGAAACCATGAGAGGTGCCACTGAGATGGGAAGCATGCGGTTGGGGGTGGGTTTGGAAGTGGGACTTGGCGTTTGGCTTCGGATGTGTCATGTCCTGAGATGTGTGAGGGGACGGGACACAGGCGGCTGGGGACGGGCTGGAGGCCCTGGTCTGGGAGTCATCAGGGTTGACGGCAGCCAGAGCCACAGAGCTGCTTCAGAGCAGCCCTGGGGGATGTCGGGGACAGAGGCCTGGTGGGGAGCCCTGGGGCCCTCAAGGCTGCCAAGTCCTTTGTCTCAGGGCTCAGCCGGGAGGGGCCTGTGCATGAGCTCACAGGGTCTCAGGTTTCCTTTGTGTACTTTCTCTTAAATCGAGATTCCAAACTGGAGACATTTCAGGCTCTACAAAACACAGGTCTGCCCTGGGGTTCACCAGGCTTGTTTCCTCTTTCCCTAAAGTCTTCCAGAGGGGGTGCTGGGTAAACCTTCAGCAATGTGAAGCACACGGAAGGCACAGTCAGCAAATAAAGACCGAACCAAGTTTAATCGAAGGCGCCACCACCTCAGTAAACCCCTTTTATTGATTTATTTTGTTGTATTAATCTTATTGAATGTGTCTGTGGATCACTTGTAAGTCCCCGCCTTTTTTTGGAGATGGAGTCTCGCTCTGTCGCCCAGGTTGGAGTGCAGTGAAGCAATCTCGTCTCACTGCAGCCTCCACCTCCCGGGTTCAAGCGATTCTCCTGCCTCAGCCTTCCAAATAGCTGGGATTACAGGCGCGCAACACCATGCCGGCTAATTTTTGTATTTTTAATAGAGATGGGGTTTCACCATGTTGGCCAGGCTGGTCTCAAACTCCTGGCCTCAGGTGATCCACTGGCCTTGGCCTCCCAAATGCTGGGATTTCAAGCATGAGCCGTCATGCCCAGCTATATCTAGAAGGTTTTGAAACTATCTTTGACCAGAGCAGAGTCAAGCCTGACAGCCAAAGCAGAGAGGCTGCCTTGTCGGGGGTTATGGAGCCCAGCTTCGGAATTGAGGCAAGCAGTCATATCAGCTTTCTGAGCCTCGGTTCCCTCCGGAAATAGGATGCGGACGCCCACGGAGCAGGGTGCTTGCAGGGTTTGCTGAGTTCAGCTCTGAGTAGGGTGGCGGCCAAGATGATTGCTCACTCATTGGTAGCTGTTGTCACGAATTTCATCTGGGGTCCACACCAACCAAATCAGGACATACCCGGATGCTTACAGGCTTAAGGAGGACCCCTAGGTCTGTGGCAGTGGGGAGGTGGCCTTGCAAACTGACCATCTAAGCAAGGTCGGCAAGGTGTCTGTCAACCCCAGACCATAGCTTCCCAGTGTTTGGTGGGTTTGTAGCCATTTGTAGGACACAGAGCAGCCACAGAGAATCTTGGAGCAACATTACAAGGGTGGTACAAGTGTCTCCTGAGTACCTGCTACATGCTAAGAGATGGAATTCACAATACCTCCAAATATGCCACCTTGGCATCCTGGAAAAGGACAGAACTAGGATGGTCTGTTTCACCTTCCCTGCCCTTCTCCCTTCAAGCAGGTTATGAGACCCTCATTCGAGAGGTGCCACCCCAAACGTACAAGTAAAGAACATCCTGAAAATCTGAACAGACCTTTCGAACTTTCCCCTAGTTTATCACCATAAAATCACATGATTCATCCAATTCTGTTTCTCCACAGCTATCCTGCTCTCTTCTTCACCAAACCCAGCATAAAAATAATGTGTTTGGCCCGGCACCATGGCTCATGCCTGCAATCCCAGCACTTTGGAAAGCCAAGGTGGGCAGATCATCTGAGGTTGGGAGTTCGAGACCAGCCTGGCCAACATAGTGAAACCCTGTCTCTACTAAAAATGCAAAATTAGCTGGGCGTGGTGGCACATGCCTGTAATCCCAGCTGCTTGGGAGGCTGAGGCAGGAGAATTGCCACTGCACTCCAGCCTGGGCAACGAGAGCAAAACTCTGCCTCAAAAAAAAAAAAATATATATATATGTATATATATATATATATATATATATGTATATATATGCGTTTATCCATTTCTTTGGGCCTTCATTTCCTTACGGAGGCTCATGTGCCATGCAAAACCTAAAAACATTTGAATACTTTTCTCTTGCAAATCAGTCTTTTGTGATAGGGCCCTCAGCCATGAGTCTAGGACAGGTAGAAGGAAAGACGTTTTCCTCCCCACAGGCACAGCGTAGCGGGCCCTAATTTAATCAGACCCCTTTACACACGCAATGAAGAAACCAAGACCCCAACAAAAAGAACCTCACTCAGCCACACCACGTGCAGAGCTGGCGCCTGCTCCAAACCACATGAGCTGTTTTAGGGGGCTCTGCTAGAAAAGGAAGGGCTCTCTCTTAGAGCAGGAAGATGGGATGGGTTTGCCAACACTCTGGGTTGCATGAAATAGCTGCTAATTAAAATTCCCAGCCCTAAGCAGGGCACAGTGGCTCATGCCTGTAAACCCAGCAGTTTGGGAGGCTGAGGTGGATCATCTGGGATCAGGAGTTCGAGACCAGCCTGGCCAACATGGTGAGACCCCGTCTCCACCAAAAATATAAAATTAGCCGGGCCTGGTGGTGCATGCCTGTAATCCCAGCTACTCAGGAGGCAAGGCTTGAACCTGGGAGGTGGAGGTTGCAATGAGCTGAGATTACCCCATTGTACTCCAGCCTGGGCGGCAAGAGCGAAGCTCCGTCTCAAAACGAAGAAACGAACAAAAACTCCCAGCTCTAATGCGGGGCTAGAAAGCAGTTTGTGCTGGTAATGCTCCCTCTGAAACCGGCCATTACCATAGCAAGTGGGCTCTTGCTTGAGCCATTAACAAATAAACTAGTCACGGGTTGCTCTTAAAATGTTATTACAATGCTGAGCTCTCTAATGAGCTATCTTCTCTGCAGACTGCTGGGAAGAGCCAGGAGAGGCCTTGGCACCCGCCACACCTGGAAACCCTCAGCCCCCACTCCGTGCGCCTCTCCTGGCCCCCCCGAGAGTACCAGGGTTTCTAGAAAGACTCCTCCGATCCCCAGGTTGGCCCTAGAACAACACAGGTGCTGTCGCTGAGCCCCAGGCTTTTCCGTAATCAGCAGAAGTGAGACCTGTCCTTCAGGAAGAGCCTGGACTCTCAGGCCGGACACACCTCTGTCTGACACTGTTGGCAAATCACTTAATCTGTCTGAGCCCCGGTTTCCTGTGAAGTAAACCAAACCGAGCTGACGGGAGACACGGAGCTCAGGGCGTTCTCAGAGAACCAAATGTAAAAACTCAGGGTCGTGCTCAGCCCAGCCCTCAGCTCAGAGGCTTAGGATGGTGCTGGTTGTGACTGTTGTGACAACCAGCCACACTGGAGCCACACCGGAGCCACACCCTCGATGAAGTCTATAAAGCACCACGTGAACACAGAGGGATTCCGACTTTACTGTCAGCAGTCTGGACCTACTGCGGAGGAGGCCAATCTGAGCTCTCCCAAGGTTCAAGTTTCGGAAGATTTTAAAGGAAGTACCATTTTAGTATCTTTTCTTTTGAGACGGAGTCTCACTCTGTCACCCAAGCTGGAGTGCAGTGGCAAAATCTCGGCTCACTGCAACCTCCACCTCCCGGGTTCAAGCCATTCTCCTCCCTTAGCCTCCCAAGTAGCTGGGATTACAGGCTCCCATCACCACGCCTGGCTCATTTTTGTATTTTTAGTAGAGATGGGGTTTCGCCATGTTGGCCAGGCTGGTCTTGAACCAGCTGATCCACCTGCCTTGGCCTCCCGAAGTGTTGGGATTAGAGGTGTAAGCCACTGCGCCCAGCCTTGGGTATTTTCAAATGTGTATGACAACACAAACGAACAAGTAAAGATGGTTTTCCTTCCTTCCTTCACTGACCTGACGCCCACCCCATTGCTAGGGACTCCTAACATCAGCAATTGGCAGTGTCTGGACGTCCTCAGGACCTCAGCTCAAACTTCCCTGGGCAGGCTCTGCCTCCCCAAGCCTCGACTTCCACGCCTGGGAAGGAGGCATTACAATGCCTGCCTTGCAGCTTTGGTGACATAGATGACAGGGTGCATGTCCTGCTCGGGAGGCGTTTGGAAAGCTGCCTCTTGGTTAATTTGTAATACAATGTTACAAATTGTGATATAATGTGTTCTTCACGGCACCCTTTCGGAAGTGAGTTCCTCTTCAGCTTTGCCTGATTGGCCTTTTCTCTGTAGATTGTACAGGACATACCTCTGTGTGGGCCAGGCCAGGTTAGACTAGAATCTGATTTTGGGTGTGTGAAGTTGTGCAGAGGTTTAGGGGGAAGGGTCCCCAGGTAGGAATCAGGACACCTGGGTTCTCATCCCAGCTCAGAGGCACACGGGGCCTACTGACTGGGGGCCCACACCCATCTCCTCTACCCTATGAGCTTACGGAGAGTCTGAACCAGATCATCACCACAATCCTTTCAGCTCTGGCTTCTCTGATGCTGGTCAGAAAATGCAACCTGATCCCCCCCTCCACCAACCACAAACGTACACAGTGTCATCTTGATGCTTGCCCCTGGCCGGCCCTTCTCTCTTTTCCACCCCACCAGCTGGCAAGCCGGGAGTGAGGGCTGCGTTTACCTTCTGCTTCTTCTCCAGTTTGATGGCTTTCTGGGCGGCCTTTTGTTCCTGTACCCACAGCTGCAGGTACCGGTGCTGCAGCAGATCAAAGAAGGGTGTCGAAGGCCTGAAGGTAAGAAGTCCAGACAGAGCTTGAGGCTTGGGAAAGACCAGAGGCACCCTCTTCCCATCCCACGCCGGAGCCTCCTAAACGTCAGGGGCTGCAGGGCCCATCAACCCCAAGACTGTGAAAGCCCCTCTCCCAGGCCGAAAAAGCCATGAAACAGGTCCCTCATAGAGCCTGCGAGTGCTGGGCCTGCAGTGGGGATAGGACTCCCTCCTTGCCAAATGTTAGAGGCCTGGTCCTCTGAGCTCTCTTTCTCACTAGGCCTCATCCCTAGGTCCTAACCTTGGCCTGCTGAAACCAGTTTTAGCCAAGAGTCCTGCTACATGGATGCCCCAGCCTTCATATCTGATTACCCTTGACAGCTGATCGAATTCCTCATCCGCACCCTTGAAAGCCGATGACCTTGGCCTGCCTTTAGCAAGGACCTTCCTGTCTTGCTGATTTTCCATCACTGCCCCTGCCCCTCCCTTGGCTCCTCAGCTAAACATCCCCACTTCTGTGGTATCTGGAATGGAACTCAGTTCTATACTGTAGCTTCTTCCTTTTTGGAACAGCATTGAATAAAATGTCTTTACCACCTTTAATTAGTGTCTGGCTCTGGTTCTCATTGACAACGATTTCCAGCCAGGGAGCGCTTACCCGAGGCATCTTGTATGCTCCACCCCTTCCCAACATGAAAATGGACACGAGTATTATTCCCATCGTACAGATGAGAAGGGCAGGATCCCAGAGCAGTGCAGGCAACACCGCAAGGCAGACCCGCCCAGCCACAAGCCTCTGCAGCAGAGGGAATTCATGTCCATGAAGCAAATGGCCAACTGCTCCCAGGTGGGGCCTGATCTCTAAATAGGCTGAGAGACTGAATATACAAATGAGCACTATTTGTGGGCATGGTGGCTCATGCCTGTAATCCCAGCACTTTAGGAGACTGAGGCAGGTGGATCACCTGAGGTCAGGAGTTGGAAACCAGCCTGCCAATATGGTGAAACCCTGTCTCTACTAAGAATACAAAATTAGCCGGGCACGGTGGTATGTGCCTGTAGTCCCAGCTAACTTGAGAGGCTGAGACAGGAGAATTGCTTGAACCCGGGAGGTGAAGGTTGCAGTGAGCCAAGATCACATCACTGCACTCCAGCCTGGGAAACTCTGTCAAAAAACAAAACAAACAAACAAAAAAAAGAACTATGAGCCACAGTCTGCAGCAGCTAGGTCAGGAAACCAGCTCATTTTGTACAGTAACCAGCCCAGGAAACCGCCTGCTGTGCCAGATTTGTAGGAAGTTAGACTGCGGTCTCTACCAACAGTCCAGAAAGCCAAACAAAACCCTTGAAACAGCCAACCCAGAATGTCCGGGACTTGGTTGACAACTGCCAGCTCCACTAATTTTTGTACCTGCTTGCAGCTTAGGACAAAGCAGAGAAAACTAAATAAGCACCCATAACCAATCCCATAGCATGCCCCCATATATATATATATATATATAAAATCCCATAGGATGACCCCATATATATATATATATATATATATATATATATATATATATAAAAAATACATATATATAATACATATCTAGAATTTATGATGTATATCATACATATGATGCATGTACATACATTTCTATTTTCAAGAGGAAGAAAATGAAAAGATAAACCAAACTTATTAATTAAGAAGCAACCAGAATGACAGAGAGAACAGGGAGGAAGGAGCAGAAAGGAGAGCTAGAACTTGTTGAATGGACTTTGTGTTATAGTTTTGACTTTGGAAGCATCAATAAATGATTTGTTTTTCTAATTACAAAAGAATTAAAGAGAAAGGGTTAGCATCTACCCCAAGTAACAACAGGAGAAAGCAAATGAACCTAATTGTATGTCAAGTTGTGACATAACTACAGATGATTATTTCAAGCGACTATTAATTTATTTGTTGAGGTGGAGTCTTGCTCTGTTGCCCAGGCCGGAGTGCGGTGATGCAATCTCAGTTCACTATAACCTCACCTCCCAGGTTCAAGTGATTCTCCCAACTCAGCCTCCCAAGCAGCTGGGATCACAGGCACCAGCCACCACAACCAGCTATTTTTTTTTGTATTTTTAGCAGAGACAGGGTTTTGCTGTGTTGGCCAGGCTGGTCTCAAACTCCTGACCTCGAGTGATCTGCCCACCTTGGCATGGTCTGAGTACCAGGGAGGCAGACTGCGAGCCTCTCACTCTGCCTTTTATGTGGCCTGCATGGTGGTCTTAAACTTTGAAATAATTATCAACACTTAAAAATTAAAAATTTTTCCCTTCGAAAGACAACTTCCTGGAGTGTCTTGACATTTTGTAAGTTCTGCCAATGCTAGACTGCACTCTTGGCTGTAGCAATTGGTTGGGGCTGAGTAAAATTCCCCTTCCACCCCAGGCCTCACCCTGCCCTGTTGCCCTGCCAGGCTGGTTCCACTCTCTGCTGGGCTCCTCCACGTTTCACCTTTCGGCCCGGAGACAGCTGTAAAGCTAAACCGGACCCCAAATATCCACTCCCTGGCCCCTGACTGTGCCCCTGGACCAGTCTGCCTCCCTTCTACAAAGCTGTCTTCAGGCCGGGCCGAGCTGGGATTCTGTCTGAGCCGAGGTTCAGCAGCTTCGCCCTACCACCCCTGCTCAGAGGTCCTTTACACAGCAGCCTTCGGTGCCGCTACAAACGGTGGTTCTTTGTTTTCCAGTCCCTTTACCCCTGCGGTGACTTTTATTACTTAATTATTACATGCACCATGCTTCTGAGCAGCCTAATTTATTGCTGTGTTTTCTAATGACACTAGATTCGTAATCTGAAAATATCTACCCCAAGAGGCCGATCACAACAAAAAAGCTCTCTTCTCAGCAGCCCCTGACACATTCATCGCCACCACAAAGGCACCCGCGGCCTCGGCTGACATCCTCGTGTCCAGCAGTTCTTATTACCAGGAAAGGGGTTCGGGGTGTGAGGGTAACGACACGCCCTGGGAGTCCCAACGGCCCCAGGCTGGGTCCTCTGAAGGAGACCCGCAGGCTGTGCCCGCTTCTGCTCCGGCTCATTGCCTTGGATACAAAGGTGGAGAAGCTGGTCTGATACGGGAAGAACCTAGTACATAGGATCATATCACTCCTTGCTTAAAATGCTTTCCACAGCCCCCCATGTCTTAGCCTAAACCCAGACTCATTGCCAGGGCCTCAGGGGCCTTCCAGCGGCTCCTGCCTCCTTCCCCAGCTCCTGCTACATGCAACACCTTGGGTGAACTCTAGGCCTTTATGCTGAGCCAAAAAGACCAACCTCAAAAGGTTACACACTGTGTGATTCTAGGTAGATAACATTCTCAAAATTGTCCAGGCATTAGGAAATAGAGGGAAGCAGCTTCACTGAAAGGAGTGTGAGGAAGATCTTTGGATGATTGAACAGTTTTGTATCTTGATTGTGTCACACAAATCTACACAGGTGAAAGAGTTGCAAGAACTAAATACACACATGCACACACATACACACACGCACACACATACACGCACACAGATACACACACGCACACATGCAAATGAGGGCATAAACTGGCAATCTGAATGGAATCTGTGTATAGTACCAATGTCCATTTTTTGGCTTTCATTTTGCAATCTAGTTATGTGAAATTCTCTCATTGTGGGGAACTGGGTGAAGAGGATTTGGGCTTTTTCTGCACAATTTAAAAAGCTTTCTGTGAATCTATAATTATTTCAAAGTAAAATATTTTTAAAAGTGCGATCAAGCATGCTAGAGGAAAGACTGAAACAGCTTTATACTTTGTAGAAAAATATTTTAAAATTACTATCATATGGTGGCTCATGTCTGTAATCCCAGCACTTTGGGAGGCCAAGGCGGGTGGATCCCCTGAGGTTAGGAGTTCGAGACAAGCCTGGCCAACAGGGCGAAACCCCCTCTCTACTAAAAATACAAAAATTTGCCAGGTGTGGTGGCGGGCTTCTGTAGTCCCAGTTAATTAAGGGGCTGAACAGAAAAATCACTTGAACCTGGGAGGCAGAGGTTGCAGTGACCCAAGATCGTGCTACTGCACTCCATGCTGGGCGACAGAGAGAGACTCTGTCTCACAAAAATTAGCCAGGTGTGGTGGTGCATGTCTGTAGTCCCAGATACTTGGGAGGCTGAGGCAGGAGAATCATTGAACCCAGGAAGCAGAGGTTGCAGTGAGCCGAGATTGTGCCATTGCACTCCAACCTGGGCACTGCAGCAACACTCTTTCTCAAA